AATGTACCACGCCCACATTTCAGATCTATGTTTCCTTCGCCAACACTGATGTCTGGCACTAATGGGTCAAAGACCAAAAAGGGTTTAAGCATAAAAACAAAAAGTGTAATACTGCTTTAAATTGTTGTTTTTCCCCCCAAACCTTTTTTTTTTTTTTCTGTTTAATTTAATTGCAATTTTGTTTTTGTTTTTTTGAGCAAAAAATAAATATGATACATTTTCCCCTGATTTACAGAAGAGACGCACTAAAATGTCATTCAGTGTAACAATCTCGTCAGGCATATTTACAACAAAAATCCATTTATGACATATTAAACGACTAATTAAGTTCACCCCAAATAATAATCAGTTGTAATTTCAAATTTTTTCAATGTGCCACTATCCTAGCTTTGGCCCATTTGTCAGTAAGAATTTTTTACTCATTTAAAACACAATCAACAAAGTAGACTCTTTACTTACATTTAATGTGCTTTCTATGAACATATAATCACTTTTGTACATTTCTTTTGATGCGGACATCTTAACATCTTTGACCCACATATGATTCTGGAAAAGCAAATCTAGTCAAACAGCTGAAGAAGATTGTTACCGTCTGATCTCACAGCCGTCAGCAGACAGAACAACACCAACACACGTCTGGCCATCTCTCAATCAGATATTATTATTATTATTATGAATCCTTCGCTTTTCTCTCTTCTCTTGCCTGTAAATAAAGAGGTGAATCTGCTGCGGCTGAGTCTGAATACACTGCACCGTAAAGAATGAACTAAACATTTAAAGCATTTATTAATTTTGGTTAACGTTTATTTCTACATCTGCTAATATTTGAAGCTGTATAAATTAATGTATTATGAATGAGCTTGATTAACAATGAACAACAATATCTTCTTAAACTCATTGATGAACAAACGAACAAGGAATTAAATCTTATAGTAAAGTGTTAACAAAAAAATAAAACAAGATTTAGTAATATTAAATTAGATTTGATTAAAACAATCAAATGATTTCTGTCGAATTAGGATGAAGTAGTAAGTGAAAGATGAAGTGTTGCTACAGACCTGAGACTGATGTCGAGAGAACGACTGATGAACCGGAAGCCAGAAACCGACACGACTTAATTAAGATCATCTGTAATAAATAATGATGAATCCATATGAAGAAATGACGCTCAGAGAGTCAGACTCAGACTAATATTAACTAGACAAAAGCTCGACATTAAAAAAATCAGCAATAAGAATATTAAAACAGGCCAGAGCCGCTCATCAGAGCTGTAAACGATCGTTCAAGAGCCTCTGTGTGTGTTTTATCATTATTTGCACTTGCACACAGTCTGAGATCAATGAGAGCAGCAACTGCAGATGAAAGATCTACATTTGACTTCCAGCGCAGAAACGGAAGACCACAAACACCTGCGAGAGTAAGAATCCTTCAAAACACACAGAAACTCTGAGGAACATCTGACACACACACACACACACAC